CTTAATCTACATGCACGTACGGGCCCCAATCCCCAAAATTGGCGCCATTACCCGCGTAGTACCCACATACGACCCGCCAAAAAAAAAAAAATTTTTTTTCTCGGGTAAGTTGATAACTCGAGTACCTGAGAAGCTAAAGGACTATACTTTTAAGAGGATATACCCCGTCCATCTATGTTTCACTCAGCTCGAACCCAACTCTCGGTTATGCTTGGTAAACATGCACGGGCCCGTGAAAATTTTTTTCCAGTAAGTTGCTAACTCAGGTGTCAGGGAAGCTAGAAAGTTGAAATTTTAAGGGGAGTGTTTTCTGACAGTTCTGGCGGCTAGTCTTAATTTGTTTAGCTAGAAAAGCCAATGCCGGTAGCAACAAAAACTGCGGGGAACTATGCAAAAAACGCATCTTCGCACGGGCAGCCTGTGCGTTGTTGGTTGTTAATGGTTGTCAACGTGATAAAAGTTGCGCGAGCTGTGTCCGATAACCACAACACTCAAAACAGCTAAAGTCTAGCCAAATGCTCTTACTGGGAGAACTCGAAGCGGAACAATGCCTTTAAAACTCGAAATAAGTTTCGTGGTCGCCTAGGTTGTCTTTCAGGCGAAGAAGCACTAGTCAGAAGTGCATGGTTGAAAAAACAGGTCCAAAACTGCAGCTAATATAAATATTCCGAATAAATTGCACTTAAAACTTTAACTTTTTGGCGAAGTTCACTTCTCTTAAAACCGGTTTAATTATACAGCTAAAAATGGAGCCTAGAAAGGGGAGTGTTCGCAAGGATTAGCGAAGGGTTAAAAAATGTTACGGGTGAGCAAACGCTGTGGTCGTAGAGATAGTCGGCTGCTGGCGGCTGCGAATTTGCAATCAATGTATCCATCATCCAACGGTGCAAGTGTCCGCCACTGTTGCGAAGCGCCTGGTAGAACATTTTCTGAAAATTAACAGAAACTCAATACAGCAACGAACTCAGCATACTCTAAATCCAGATTTTCACTAGGGACCAGCTTCCTGTCATTGTTCCTCAGGAAATTAAGTTACACTCAGAGCTCTGAATAAAACT